TTGGCGTCAGTGACAGGAATCATAACCCCCATCATTGGCGTCAGTGACAGGAATCATAACCCCCATCTTTGGCGTCAGTGACAGGAATCATAACCCCCATCATTGGCGTCAGTGACAGGAATCATAACCCCCATCATTGGCGTCAGTGACAGGAATCATAACCCCCATCATTGGCGTCAGTGACAGGAATCACACCCCCCATCATTGGCGTCAGTGACAGGAATCATAACCCCCATCATTGGCGTCAGTGACAGGAATCATAGCCCCCATCATTGGCGTCAGTGACAGGAATCATAACCCCCAGCAGAGAGTCGGTGGGCTGTGTGGGGGTTACGATCTGTGTATAGGGAGCACAGTCCACACTGCTGAGATAAAACCAATTGGCCTGATGATGATAGAAGAATCAGGAGGATCAGAAGTACTGAGAGGAGTCAATATGGCCGCCCCCTCCCCTCCCCCAATCTACCTCTATAGATCCAAACCATACACAGAGAGAAGGACCCTCCCCCACTGACACACCAATCAGATCTGCAGGAAACGAGATCAGCCGCTCTGGGGGGATGGAGATGACGGATCCAATCTGGAAGCCTACAGCGCGTATTCCTAACACGGTGAATGATGGATTCACCGACCATTCATGAAGCCCATCCCCCGGAGGACCTGTCATGCCCATCCTGCGTGTTCAGTGCGCCCATGTTATAACAATTCACCCCAAGAGGACCTGTCATGCACATCCTGCGTGTTCAGTGCGCCCATGTTATAACAATTCACCCCAAGAGGACCTGTCATGCCCATCCTGTGTGTTCAGTCTTTGTGTGACCGGCCATAAGGGGTGATTGATCCAACCTTATAAGATCTACATGTCGATGTCTAGTGATTGGATGATCGGATCGTATCACACGTGCAAATTAACCTTGTACAATGTATCCCGCACAGGGGGAGGGCCCGGGCTCAGCCAATCAGGCCGCAGCGTACAGCGCGCGCTGCGCTACGAGGGAGACTGAGCTGCCCTGCGATTGGCCGGCCGCTGTTACACTGTATCAGTGCGGGGTCACGTGACTTACCACCTCTATTTGCTCCGTCAACCTCTCCCGCTGCCGCTCAAACTCAGCGCGCTCCATCTCTCCCGGCATCCCCCCCGGACCGGAACTACGTCACACGGATCTCTGCTACTGCCGCCATTATTACTGAGGGCAAAGAGTTTCCCTCCCCTACAGGCCACGTGTCCCGTATGGGCTCCACCTAGAGGACAATACTGTGTACTGCACCCCCCGCCTGTCACTGTGCTGTATACCGGCTCCACCTAGAGGAGAGCTCTGTGTACTGCACCCCCCCCCCGGAC